CAACATAACATTTTTACTATGTCGACTTGTCAAGATAATTTATCTCACCATGACAACATACAACTTTTATTATGTCGACTTGTCAAGATAACCTATCTTGTCATGACAACGAAACATTTTTAGTATGTCGACTTGTCAAGATAATCTATCTCGCCATGTCGACATGATATGTATATTAAGTCGTCAAGTCGAATGGCACTTAGGTGCTTCCGTACATTAGGCCTATGGCCTACAATATTATATAAAAAGGCATAATCGATCTTTACAGAGTGTCGAATTGATCTGTCAATTTTATACCAGGGGCCTACAGTATTGCATAGGAGTATTTAACAATAAGAAAAATGGGGGAAACAGCTTCCTTTGAAATCTACTTAAGCGAGTGTGTATGAAACCTGGTCTATGGCAACTAAAATTTGATACTACGTCTAGAAGTGTAGAGATACGAACCCTATTACTAAAAACTGTTGAATTCTAAATGATTACAAAATGACCAAGCATATAAATGAATCGGTCTAAAATGATATTCAAAGATATTATACAGCTATAGACCGCTAATGTTTGTTTTGCATGTCTATCACACACCGTCACTCACAAATTAGCGTATGTAAAAATTGGTCGTAAAATTTGATAACAAGTTGACCATTAAAATCTATTGTAAATATTTATTTGAATCGGTACACCGATTTTGTTTCAAGTTGTTTGTTTTCAATATTATAGCTGTTTCATTAGGCCCTACGATGACAATGTTTTGAAATCGTACTGTATAACACTCCAAAAAATTTTTCTTATGGGCAAACAACAGAAGGCTCTGAATTTTTTACAAGTTGACCAAGCGTGTTGCTGCATCATTATTGTTCAGTTACGATCACTACTCAGAGAGCAGCAGGCTGATAATTTGTTTTTCCCACAGCTATTTAGATGTCGTTGTTGGTAACTTTTTTTTTTTAAATTGTGAGTGTAAATATTCTTTAGTGTGTTAACTCTAGATAAGAATTGTAGATAAATAATGCACATAAAATCAATTGTCGATGGAGAACGGCGTCAGTCATCTGATTAGTCCCATATTAATAGTACCGATATTTTGAATACTCCTCTTCCGCGAATTGTTTTATTGACAGTGACTCATCTAATTCTTCTATAATCACTTTCAACATTTTAATCTAAATAGTTCACCATATCGTAAAATTTTGAATACTGTACCCACCCAATTTGTTGGCGATCCTCAGTGTATGTTATGTTAATGAAACATGTCATAATGTACAACAAGGGAATATGTATTACAAAATGCCAGTACGTATTTTTTAGATTTTGACCACTCCGTTCTGTTGTGTGTGACTGCTGTTGAAAACAAACTTCCTCATCTGTCTCTTATTTGTGACTCGCTATGATGACTGAGATGGACCATGTTGATTTATTAATAATATTTTGTTTGGGATGGAAAAAAGGAGTCAATTTCCCAAAAATGCTCCATCAGCACATAGTTTAGTGTGGTCTATGGATAGTATGGCTATGGAATTTACTAACCACACAATCCAGAATCA